TGATGAATTTGTGGCGATTTGCGCTGCTATCAATTGCAGCAAAAGCAATTGTGAAGGTTGACCTACCCTTATTAGTGGATATTAATCACAATACACCGGGGTATTTGCCAGTGTTGTTTTCATGACACAGTCTCTCTTGGACCGACCACAGCGTCTTCTTGTCCAGATTAGTTTCGGAACAGGCGATATTATATGTTTTCACCTCGATTACTGTAGTATTTATGGGCTGAACATGCTTCGAATCCATCAGTTCGTCGTAGCCGTTTCCCCCCTGCGCCGAGCAGTTGATTCATTTCGTCCTGCGCTCTGGCTGCTGGGCCCCGATGTCAGCTCTTGAAAACGCTATAACACGAGTATGTCCGGGATTTGTACCCGAGAGCGTGCTGTCCCCTGCACATAGCGACCCACACACGATCATATATCACAAATTACATATATCACGATCACATATCGACTCACACACACACATATGACACACGATCTCGGCTTTTTCCTCCGTTGGAAGATGGTGGTCTCGCGTCACTGCAACGCCTGATTAGCAAAAATCTTAATGAGATTTGATTTTGTTTTCTTTTCATATAACGTAGAAATTCTATATTTTCCGTTTTAACCGAATGGGAGGGGTGACGCTTTGATGACTTTGTAACGTTGAACGAATTTGCATGATCACCCAGACTCCATACAACTATTTTACAAATTATACAGCGCATCTTATAGCACTCACCATACCAGTTTCACCAAAGTGGACTTTTCATACCACCAAAGTGGATTTTCCAGGATCAGACAAAGTTAACACATACGACGACTGCGGCTAGCCCGTGATCAGTTGTAGGTCACTTCTGGACTTCATGTGGTTCAGGTTGAGGATTAGGTGCGTATTTATTTGGATTTTGTTTTCCATGCCCACAAAATTGCAATATTTTACTCTCTGCTCCTAAATCATAACGTTTTACTCCCTGGTCCAAAATCCTCACGTTCTACTCCCTGTAGCATATTGCTGACTACTTCCAAACCCAAATTTGAGCTGACATGGGAGGTCGCCGGATGACCTCGAATGTCAAACCAGACATATTGAACCCTGACGACACCAAGCCACCCACAGACCTTCGTTTCGCAGAGCTAGCGCAATGTCAGGTCCACGAACTGCTCGCCATTCCTCCGCCAACGACACTATTCGAAATAGATGCTGTCCGGCAAAGGCTGAAGAATTCTGCCATTTGTTGTTAAAAACTGCATGAAGCTGCAATCAATGCCTGCAGAGATTGCTTCATGCAGAGAGGCTGATCAATGGCTTATGGCAAACGTGCCGGTCGAGTTGAGCCACGCCGCATGGCTCAGAGAGACATGGCTCGTCCCGCGGTGGAGCCTGTTACGACACATTCAATGTGAAATTCACGTTCGGTTTTGCAGCGCTGCAGCTCAGCGCGCGTAAGTGTGTGTGTTTTTTATGCTGCTACGTCCGCGCGCTATTGCTGTTTTCGTCCCAGCTTTGAAGATCTAGATAACGTAAAACCAGGCATTTTGGAGTCCGGAGAAAATTAGACGCATTTTCAAGCTAGTGCTTGACGCAGATTCTTAGCCAAATTCGTTAGCTTAATTGTCGTCTCTACGCCAACGTCAGAAGAAAGTGGAGGCATTCATGGATGCAAGCGTTGTTGCATAGAATGTTGCAGTGCACAGCATGTTTAGTTCCGCGGAAGCTTGAAAATTAATGTTTTGCCCGGTATTTTGCTTCGCATTTTGCATTTTTGCTGTCCTGCCCAGACCAGGTGAGATATTGAACCGAGTTAGCCAGATTATGATGCACAATAAATATTTACAGCCATAACCTTATAAGCAATGTAACAAATCCTTCAAGGCGTAAGTAATCTAGTTTCCGAGCCTAAGTTTAAGTGGTTTACAAGCTGCATTGTATTCAATATTAAATTGAATGAAATAATTTCTGTTTGAGATAAACAACGTTGAAAGTGATCCGAAACATTTCATCTGAAACAGGATAATGGCAGGAATAGGCTGACTAGGCACCATACCAATTTTGGATTATCTTACTATCTCCGAGAACAGAGTACTTAACTTAAATACCGATGCTCCGACACAACGATCTACGTCTTCAGTTTAGCGTTGGGCATGTCATGGTGACGTCGCAGCTTGAAATAGCGTTTGTGTGTACGGCTTTAGCTCCAATGCAGTCTGACATCCTCCAAAAAGAAACTCATCGTATCATTGAATACATACGGCACATTTTGCCAACGCGTAACTTAATAAAGCGTGCGACTGTGAAGCAACATTGACGACGGCCATGTTTCAACCTGACACTAGAAATCAACATTTTGTAGCTGCTTTCCATGGGCTGGAGCCTCCCAGCTGAGTTAAGATGCACTGGCCGTTATTAAATCTCTCGGAAAACGAACTGCTGCCTCCGACAGCGGCGCAGGCGACCTCTGCCGCGGCTGTGTCGAGATAACGGGGCTCTTAGTGCCGGAGACAGCCATTGTCCAAGTGTTGAACAGAACGCGGCGTCATGTAGAGACGGCGGCCGCGAGGCGTCCGCCCGCCATTACCGTCCATGATGCACGCTTGCCCCCTGGGATACCGGACCGCGCCGACTTCGCTCCCGGCAGCGTCACCAGGCGCGTCCGCTGAGTGAGTGTGGAGAAGAGGAAAGCACCGGCCGGACTTTTCATGCCACTGCGGTAGTCAGTCGCCAAGCGCTACTTCAACCAGATGGAGCGCATGAAAAGAACGTCAACTTCACCTGGAGCGAAACATGTTGGTGCTTGAACTGGAGCTACATATTACTGACTGGCTATCTGGTGTTGGCTGGTAATCGGTAATTTTCTGAATGTCGGGCAATTTGATTCCGAGCGTGATGGGCATGTTGCATGCACCAATCTGTTTGCGCTGTTTGAATGGCGTTAAAGTGCTGTCAAAATATAACCCAGACCTGGTGGCGCCGCGACTTCTACCCCAAATGTTACATACAACTTGCGAGTTTTGGCCATGGCAAGGTAATATGTATGAAAGCGTAATTGCCACTCAGTCCATACTCCGCTTGGGGAGTGAGTAGGGCCAGTGGGTTCCAAGGGCACTCTCATTGAAAGAAAACGATGAGGGGTATGAACATGCGATGTTGGCCAACCACGCTGTCATAAAACCGTACTTGAATTCGTAAATGTACGCTTTTCAGAGCTTTAACTCAGTGACGTCGTTCGGAATGATGATCAGGACCACGCATCCTTCACATGGCAGAGAGACACTATAAATAGCGCTTTACCAGACTGAACTATCCACCTCAGGACAGCATGAATTTAAACCAACTCTGGCTAAGCTTCGCGAAGGCCATTAGCATATTTGATGAACAGATGGAGCTTTAAAATGGGAACGCTAATGAACAGCATGCAGGGGATACGTGTCGGAGAGCAAGTCCCCTTGTTCACCAAAAACAAAGGTGGTAGGGCCATACATGCAACAGACACGAATGCGGGGTCACCGTCTCTTTGTCATTTAGTTGTGAAGTCAGTTGAACGCAGTTGTAGGCACATTTGCTTCGGCGGTTGATAGAGCATTGCCGGCTGCAACCAGCTGAAAATTTTACACTCGTCTACCCGAGGTTACCAAACTGTACACATTCATACTCTTTCAGATTAAACCCCAAATTTCTTATGTTTGTGCCAAGCCCCCTACGTTGGCTTTCAACGATGCCTGTTATTTCCTAAGCATCATTATTTCCATGCTCTGTCCAAATATTAACACTGCATTACCCAAATATGGCTCTAAGGGCATTCAGTGGAGCGCGTGAAGAAATAACGGGCTGTTCAGACGACTTCGCCATTCGCCGTTCTTTGACTTTGCCCGGCCGGTTTTTGACTGGGCAAGTTACAATGCTGTCATTTGCGTCCTCTACTAAGGGCAGATGGCGACAAAATAGACAGCATGACTCACATAATTTTACCAATGTGCAAATGAGGCATAGTTGCAATATAATCTTACCATCAAAAATGATTGTGAGCTTTCAGTCATGAATCAAACACATGACAACTGTTACACACAAGAATAGCCCAACTGTGTGTAAGGAGGGATGTTTCCCGCGAACTTACAGAGTACCCAAATAGCATCGCAATGAAGCGTGTTGGTAGCAATACATGATACCGTTCGACACAAAACCAAAGCATTCACAATTGTGCGTGGACAGCTAAAATTGTAGCTTTGACTAGTCACACACTCTTCCATGAGGCTAGCATTTTTCGTCCACCAGTGAATTACAGGAAGTATGCCACAATCATGTTTCAAATGTAGTCAATCTGAGTATTCTCTTCATTCTAAAATGGCCTAGAACCTCCTTCATACTCTAATCATTTCTTGGTTTTTCGTCAAATATTAAGTATTTCCACCTAAGCCAACTAAGCATGGGATGTTATGAGGTGGGATTTCACCCTTTTATTTTCTCACTCCGGACTCACTTTCTCTGATTTTTTCATGAACGTATACGTTAACAGGAGCTTTGACAGCCATTTTCAGATTTTGGACGCGTAATCAGCCTGGTATTTTGCAAAATCCCGGGCGAGTATCATATCTAGCTCGTACTAGGCTCATCATAGATTTGCCGCTTTAAAATGTGGTTTGAAACAATCAGACTATCTGGGTAAGCCAATTCTATTTCCGTTGTCCCCTTCGGCTGCCATTGTTCCAGTTCCTCTTAACCTGCATTCACTGTGCAGTTCATGGCAACACAATCCTTGTGTCCTTTACCTCGAAGGCTGGGGCTGAGCCTCCACACAGAGGCTCGAAGCTGCAGCGTAGAGTTCGCTGCCCGTTCGGTGACCAGCGCCGTACGATGACCCGCGTCCGTTCCGATCCAGATGATCTCGGGTGGCGCCGTCACCGCGTGTACTTGGCCTCGGCGGCGACCATCAAACACAGCTACGACGGCGACACGAGCGTCTCTCGTATTAGCGTTTACAGTCAAGCACCCCTAAGACGATACGAGTCTCTGCTTTCAGCGGAGACAGTCCAACAAAACTACGACTACGATGAGTACGACCCGAGCGCACTGTACCAGCCTCAGTTCGTCTCGGTGCCAGGGGGGCACACGGTGAAGAAGGGAGATACAGTCGTGCTGCCCTGCGTCGTTCAAGATCTCGGTGAGTGACCCTTCTTCCAGTGCAGAGCCTTGTCTCAAATATTGGAGCTAGAGGGAACAAATCAGGATGTGGTCGCATAGTCGGACCTTAAATGGCGTCGTTGGCAGAGGGATGAAAAAATCTTCCCGATCACATCGGTTGTAGCATGCATGTCGCATCCAATGTGTGCCGATGGTAATACAATCGACCTAATATGCCGTCGTTGGCAAAAAAAAGAAAAAAAGATGAAAAACACGCTCCGATGACGTCTGTTGGGGCATGCATGTCGCATCCAATGTCGGCCAATGGGGATATAATTGATTTATAGCAACCTGGCAAGTGTTTGTTCCCTTGCCCTAAAGGACAACACCCACGATTCTACCGGTATTCGACTGTCGTCACGGAGCCCGGGTGAATGCCTGCCGTAGATGACTGTCGCAGAACCTGCCGCATCGCCCGCGACCTGCGGGCTGAAGCGGGCGTGCCCGGAGCCCGCGTCCCTCTCCGCCGGCCCGTTTCCTCGAGCGCTGCCTGCTCCGCATGCATCCCGCCGCGGGCTCGGGATGCGCACGGAAGGCGTCGCGTGTCCCGGGTCCGCTCCCACGCACCGATCCAATATTTATGGCGTCCGCGGGAAGCCGGATCCGTTATGGTGTCGGTATCGACGGATGGCGGGGCGGGGAGGGGCAGGCTAGGCCACTGGGCCCGCCCCCTGGGAGCGAACGGCCGCCCGAGACTACAGGGCGCGGCGGCCGGAAGCGTGCGTGCGCTGTGCGCGGACGGCGCCGCTCGGCCGCCAATGACGTCACAGGATGTTGGGATTGGGATGTCGGAGGAGGACCGGCAGTGACTCATTGTGTCTCGTTCAAACCGAGCTTAGCCTTGAACCAGACGCCTGGAGGGAGACGATGGCTGGTATCTCGCAGCTCCTCCACTGCGCTCGAAATAGACACATATCCGGTTTTTTTTTAAACAACGCTGCGGCTGTGACCCTGGCATGCCAAGCGTGCCCTCGTGCCGTATGACTTGATGCCTGGGACGGTGCAACCTAGAAAGTTGCACCGTACTTAGCGAAGGCTTAAGGTCATGCAAACCAACCAATAATCGGCATGTGTTGTGATGTGCCTGGGCAATGTAGACTTCACTTCGTTGGTTAAACACGAAATCCACTAATTTCGGCACATCACCAATATTCTTGCCACACGTACCATCCAAGGTGTGTAACAGGCCCCTCCCAACAGTAAATGGACTGCGCGAGTAGCGCAGGGGGCGCATTGATATCGGTGTGCGGTTGCTTTGTTGTATGTGTCTGTGCAATGGTTCTGTGAACGCGTCTGGACCCAGGGTCGATGGCTCATCGGACGGCAGACCATTGTAGCCAAACGCTCATCGTGTTGGTACAGAGAATATCGCTGCACATAACACCGACAGCGCGAAATGGATGGGAATTAAAACACTCTTGGGAAGGTGCTGAACAGGATCACTTGACATGAAATTAATTTGATCAAAACGTGTCAGCTTGACATTGGCTTGGCTGGAAAGGGAGACGCCAGGTGTATAAGTGTGTTCTTTTTAATATTATCACACGATCAGTCAGACACATTAAAATTGTTAACGATATGCGATAGCGAATGCATGCCAGGGCTGTGCTCGCGACTCCTTAGCTTAGAAACTTGCACAGCAAGCATCCGAGATGCTACTCATATAGTACCATATACATACGCACAGCTGCTGTTCACGTCAGCAAATTTCATTTCAGGCATTCGCCTCCTGTAGCACGGGCAAGGAGATAGAACATCCCCAGCTACTAACGCGTGTCTTTGTGTCGGCACGATGCAGGCACGATGTCCGTGATGTGGAAGCGACAGACCTTGCTGCTGACGTTGAAGAACCAGGTGGTGCGAGAACAGAACCGTCTCCGCCTTCTGGACGGCTACAACCTGCAGATCAGTCAGGCGCGGCCCGGGGACGCCGACGTCTACACCTGCTCCGTGGCGCTCAATGACAGGGACCTGGAGCAGACACAGACGCTGGACGTCCAGTGTGAGTACATGCTGAACGTTGCGCTTCGAGGCGGACTCGGGTTAAGCCTGAGACTGGACGTCCGGTATGGGCACACGTGGGTCGTCCTGTGGAGTCACGTGGTAGCGTAGTTGTCTTAACCGGCGCAATCCGAAGGTCACGCTTACCTGAATGGAACCTGCGCTTCGCACAATCGCGGGATGCCCTTGTTGTGCCCATCATTTGACAATTCCCCATCGGCCAGAGATCGCTGTGTATGCATTCCCTTCCCATCGAGGAGAGCTTCTCTTGCCAGATCGGTAGGATGTCTCCAGTGCGGCTAACCTATGTCTGGCTCGCAGCAGAGCAGTACCGAGCGGGAGGACAAGCGAGGTCACGCGCCATATTGTCTAGGTCCTGAATGGCTTGAGCACGCTCCACATGTGCAGACAGCAGGGAGGTTCACGGTTAAGGATGCTTTCCTTTGTGAAGTTTACGCGCCAAGTGTGAAGACAACCGGAGTGATGTGAAAACAGATGGGCTCAACACTTCAGCAATAATTCCCGTCTTGCATCGTTCCGAGCGGCAGAAAACCAGTCGTCAGAGAATCGCCGAGTCGCCGAATTGCAAACCGAAATGTCCAGGCCACGTGATGCGGCTGACAGTAGCCTGGTCCACCATGGCTCCTAGCTTCCTGCAAACGGCTCCCAGAGGATTTGTTTCGTGTTTTGGTGCCGGCGCAGCTTACCACGAGCGGTATTCAATCCGATTAAGTTGGCGACGCCACGGTGCGAGCGTCTGAGGCCGTTGTGGAAGTGGATGGGTATGCTTGTACTGGTGAAGGAGTGCCATCCGCCTGGCAAAGGACAACGAGGAAGAGAGAGAAGAGATGAGAGACAGATCTCTTAGCTTGAGAGATGGAGAGAAAGAGGAAGAAGAGATCTAGAGAGATAGAGCCTATCGAGGATGCCTCCTCCCACGCGTCCGAGTAGCTCTGGTCAGCGATATCTCGAGACCGATGCGAGATCTTCTCGATAGAGACCCTGGAGTTTGTTTACGTAGTGAAATTGCCAACCCCTGATGGTACGTTGCAACCTCTGATGGTAGCTCCATGCAATTTTCGGTGGCAGTAATCCCTCTGCTTATGAAAATGTCCTTCATCTCTTTGTGACACAGGACTGAACTGTTTGATCAAAGGTAGCTATCTTACAGCAATCTGTGACAGTGGAGTGGTTATGTGAGACGATGCTGCCGTTATGTGAGATGAAGAACGAGAGGAGCCAGGAAAAGTAAAGGGAGAGAAGGGGAGAGGCAGAAGGTATGGGAAGGAATATTGGGATGGGCTGGTAGACAAAGAATGGTGGGATAGGAAAGGGTAGGAAGAGAGGAAATTGCTTAGCGCTGAACAAGTGCAGCAGCCGCGCGTACATTTATAGAACCATCGTCCCAGTGATGTACAGATCCCTACACTGTTCTGGTCTCGCAGAGAAACGCAGCCATATTCGGTTCGGGCTCCGGCACCTCATGGGGTCGAATGCGTTTTTAGGTGCGAATATATTCCCCGACCAGAAATGAAAGATTTGTTACGGTCGGTCATGGCATGGTTCGAGATAAAAATCACAGCCTACAGCACTACGCGGCGAAGTGGCTAGTGCAACATTATCTATAGCCCGGACCACGTGCCAGGAAGGATTTATAAAAGGAATTTGTGATTGAGGTATGCAATGTGTGATTGAGAGATTGGACGAACCACTAAGACCAAAAAACATATCAACAAATTGCTAACGTAAGGGTTTACCAGTCTGAATCACTAGCCATGAGTGCCTCGTGCGAATTGCACATATTCCACCCACACAGCAATTCGCGTGACAAACTTCTTCAATGTGCATCGCAGCAGCCAGCTTTTATAGCCGCTGGGACTGCTTTTCCTTTGTGTTGCTGGGTGCTAACACCGGAAGAACTCATATCAGCTAGAAAATGGCCGTCGGTCGGCCGTCAAATTAGACCGTATCAGTAGCAGCCTGCCGCCTGTACTGTTTTTACGACGTCGACTGCGCTCCATGCGGCAACAGACCCAGGTATTTTGCACCGCGTTCGTACTGGCAAATTGTCTGACAAGTGGTAGATCTTGAGGTCACACCCAGGTCAGGTAAAACATGAAAATACTAGGGCCAAGGTAACGTGGTCGCTTACCGGTGCTTGTCATGGGCAGGAACTTGAGACCATCTTCAGTCGTGTGTCTAACTTCCCTGCTGTTGTCTGCGGGAGCGCGACGGCCGCCCAGCTCCGCTTTTCCGTGTTCCGTGTTCGTCCGTGTTCACTCCGCCACCTCTCGCAGATGGACCCTTCGTCCGGACGGTCCCGGAGAGTGGGCAGATCATTGTGGACCAGGGCCAGAACGCCAGCCTGGAGTGTCACGCGCGCGGCAACCCCAAGCCCAGGGTGCGCTGGAGGAAAAAGGTGGGTACAGCGCTGCCTTGCGGGCGTACGCGCATTGTCCCACATGTGATTGACGACTTTTGTTTGGGCGGTTGCATTGCGGCAGTGACTTTTGATTGGACCTATGCTTTAGATATTCGCCAAGATCCAGGGTAATGAAACCTGAGCTGGTATTGCAGGCTGATTACACTCTGGCAGGCCACTGGAATAATTATCAGTCAACTACACTATAGGAACCGCACGTATAAGCAATTTGGTAAGTAGAAATTACTTGCTATGGTTCGAGGGAATCTAGGTCCCGGAAATACATTTGCTCAACGTGGTCCAGACAAAATTAAGTGCTGGAGTGTCTTAATCAATACAGATATCTGCCATCCCACTTAATAACATGTTTGGCCTATTTCAAACGTAATTACTAGCCCGGACAAAACACAGATGGCGTTTCGATTACAAGCTGGGCGTGCCGCTGGCGCCGTACGTGATTCACACAGACCTTCTCACCGGCTCACCCCCAACAGCTCAATCCGTCACAATCTCAATCAATGAATGTCTGAACTCGGGACAACGCTGAAATTGCCTCAGGGACGCGTCTTTTCCCCTCACCTTCCCGCTGATTGGCCGAGGCGGGACTAATTGATATCGCCGCTGCTTAATGCGCGCGGCGTCGATCGCCACCGGTATTATTTATGCACGGTCGCGGGCGCGTTTGTCGGGTATAATTCCAGCCGTGACATATCTGACCGATCGGCCGTCGTCACGGTACTCAGCGCTCCTCCCCTTCCCCCCCTCCCCCCCCCCCCCCTCCCGACTGATCGCTACTCACTCCACCGTGTGGCTAGCGTTCCATGGCACAACGCCCTGCTCTTCGGTTGGCGAGGAAAGGCTAGTATTGACGGTTATTAATTGCTGGTTGGAAGGCGAGCCTTTGTGGGTGCACTCGTGCTGAAAAACCCATGTTTGCGCACACGGTGCGTATCGACATTCTGAACGATTCCGCTGGAGCACGCACTGATAGCTAGCAATAATCGTCGCAAGGATGAGAGCTACTGGCATCGCTGTACTTGAAAAAGACCAATAAGGTCCGCCACGTAAATGAACTGAAGTTGAAATTCACTATGTTTATTATTTACTATGTTTACTTACTATTTACTGCATTCAATCTACTTTGCTTATTTATTTACTCCGAGTACACAAAAGACTTTGCTGCGGAAGTCAAGCGGAATTTCCACCCAGTCCAGTGATGGACAGGCATGTTTTGCTTTCCCAAAATCTCTGCTACTCCCAAACGCCCACCGGCCCCGTCTCCGGCGCCAACCTCACCGCGGCGTGCTTGACGGCAGGTGCACAGCACGCACAGCATGGTGGAGCTGAGCCGGGGGGAGCGGCTGCACCTGGCGAAGGTGACGCGCTCCGACGGCGGCCTGTACGAGTGCGTGGCCGACAACAGCATCGGCGACACGGTCACCGCCCCGGTCAACCTCCAGGTGCTCTGTGAGTCCCGTGACGTCATGTCGGGGCGTGTGCCGGAGACGCGGTCTCCTGCCGTGGTTCGAGGCTGCCGATTGGGTGGAGGTAGCGTTCCAGACCCGATGACTATGCGGAGCGCCACGGGGAAGGTGCGGCGCTGCCGCCAGCACATAGGATGAGATGCAGCGTCGGCTGCGGGGTGTGGGAGAGGCTCCGCGGTAAGCAGCCGTCATTGGGACTGCCGGCGAGCCGCCTGCGCGACAGACGCCCGCTGGGTTATGCCAACCGCGCTGGAAATCGATACCGCAGGACCGCCTCAGCTCCTATTGTTATTTATTGGCCGCGTCCATTTTTGAGCTGCCACAGAGGGCATCGATTCATCATGTCCTAATGCTGCCGGGGATCACGACTACGGCACTGGCTGGCTGGCTCGGCGGCCCCGGCGCTCCTGGCACGGCGGGCGTCCCCGGCGCGTCTACGCTGACAACGGACCCTGTTCCCGCAGACAAGCCGGAGACGGAGGTGGAGCGCAGTACCGTGTACACCGGGGAGGGCTTCAAAGCGCAGTTAGTGTGCTTTGTCCACGCCGACCCCATCGCCGAGGTTAGTCTCCGCTCACCGTGTGTCGTTTTCTAAGGCTTTGGCTCCCCACAGAGCGGCTGGATTAAGGTGAAGGAGGCTGACGCTCCGAGATAAGAGAACGGAGGAGGAAATGATGTCTCACGCCTCTGTATAGCCTGTTCGAGTTTGCTAAGTGGTGAGCTTGACGTGATGTGGCTCGCAGCGAAGCGGATTTTACCGTTCATGATATTAAAGGGCCAAATGTCAACACAGGTCGGTCGTTCACACTGTTATGACGGGGCGGCGTGAGCCTGCAGCCACGTGATGACCTGCCGTCGCCGCAGGTGAAGTGGAGCCGAGTTAACTCTCCGATCGACTATAGTCGAGCAACGCTGTCAAACGACATCATGATCGGAACGCGCCACACGCTCACCATCGACAACGTCCAGCTGGACGACTTCGACACGTACATGTGCACAGCGCGGAACGGGCTCGGTTCGGCGTACAGCAAGATCGCGGTGTCAGGTCAGTCAGGATCTCACGACTTTTGAACGGGTGCGTTTGATCCCAGTGGTGGGATCAGGTATTTGCGATGACAGTTTTAAAGGTCGCTGCACTGCACCTGGCAATATGCACTACCATATGCGTCTGAAGGTTTGCTGTAAAGCTTCACTGTGAACCGTTCACACGCGTGCTTCTTTTGCACCATAAAGGCACCTTGATTTACAGGGCGGGGTTTCGCGCGGCTGATTTTTTTGGAAACAATAGGCATTGTGCTAAGATCTCATTCAATGCATGGTAAACCAGACGAGACGATTCCGATTCCCTCTGTGGACCATTCTGAAATAAATAGCGTTGTTTTTTATTTACCATCATTTACATGACTACGACATCTCCCCAATGCGGAGAGTAGTTGAAAATTTCACCCTACGGCCATACTATGGCGATCGCAGGGTGCAATTTGTCCATTTTGACTGTGTGATAACTACCATGCGTCTTGCTTGTCATGAATGTTGGCGTAGAAATATAACACGATATTTAGAAATGAAACTTCTCCAGAATTTTGAGGAGACATTTGCGTTTCAGGAGGTCAAAATGTTAGGTGAAATCAAGCAAATGACTTTTGTAATGTTTTGTCCGGTGCTGATATTTAGAAAATTGATGCTCCTGTTACGTCAAGAACTGCCAATGCCACGGCAATGCGGAGGATGGCGTTGAATAGCTCTCGCCAAACTTCATCGGATTCATATTAAAAAATGTTGACATGTGTGGCCTATGATATGTTACGCGGCAATGGAATGCATGCCATTTTTACATAGACTCGTCCGGCGATATCAATAATTAAACAAGCCACCGCAGTGAAAACAGCTTTAGTAAGGATTTTTAAAGCTGTAAGATATTTGTAATTGAGCTGTAACTTCTATGACCATCGAAGGGTCAAATTCAGTCACAAATGTCAAAGTTTCTTGAATTTGACCTCAGATGATAGGTCTTTGCAAATGCCAGCAGGACGTTATACGCACACTTCCGACTGCTGAAGAAAAGAACCTTTTTTACGAACACATATTTTTGTGGAAAACAATAGCTTTTTTCAATTTTGGAGAAAAAAGTCCCACATATGACCTTGAGAAAAAGGCATTGGGCATGAACCGCTAAAGTCAGAAAGTTCAAGGCTTCACAACGTCAGTGGAACAGTATGTGAATGCCACCACAAACTTTCAACGGCGTGCTCAAACCGGTCTGGCGTTATTCTGGAAGCCTTAAGCCACCCTGGTTCGGCGAGGGTTGAAAACATTTTATCACCAAACTAAATATTTGTTGCCGTATATCACCAAACAAAGTTGTATTTTTAAGAAATGCCATAGAGATGACTCATATTACAATTATGACGCACGGCTGACCTTGCAATAGTGCAGAGTAGTGACCTACTTGACTCTCCCCTGGTAATCGCAAGCGGACCTCAGTAGGCCCATTCACGCCAGTTCCTCTCTCGTCCTGTGCCGATATCCCAACATGACGTCACACCAATCAATATTCAGGTCTGTCGTTCTTGAAGCCATGCATTATTCGTGTATAAGCAGCATGATAACAGATTCAAGTGCAGCTAAAACAGATAGGCTGTCGACGTCAGGGGAGATGGCTTGCTGTCTAACGACAAAGCCAGATACCCTTGCCATACATTTATGGATGATTGGCGTGTTCATGTGGTTTTACTTTTGGCCCACCTTTTTGCACGACTTCAGATGGAGTCAGAATTCTCTTTGTCATTTTAACACGACGACAAAAACGTGCGAAATTCTGCCTGCTTTGAAATGCTACAATACAGAGCATTAAACCATGATTTAATTCCCACAAATATCGGGTACTATTCAAACAAGTAATTGCATTTGCAATATTAATGTCCATTGTAATGTTATACATTTCAAAGTCAAAGTCACGTTGCCTGCATAGTGTAAAATTTACAGCAGGCGCCACCATAGCACGCGCGAGCCTCTTCGGTTGGCGGAAACAAAAAGCCTGTTTTAGGCTACGATGTTTTTATTTTGCTTTGGCTGGACCACTAAGTCCATTCACCATACAGATCCTGCAAATAACCAACATCCTAGGGAACATCCATCGTACTTGTCAACCGCGACCGGATGGGTGGCATTGTTTTTGCTTCGTTGATTGATGAAACGCCGCCATCTGAAAAAAAGCAAATGTTTGGTCGGGTTGATACTCTGCGACCTTTGCAGCCAAGGACTGTCAAATTTTGTAACAAGATTAGTTTCAGAAAGTTCTGCTCCTCCGCTCACTGAAGTGATAGAGCTCCTAGCGCAGCCCTTATATATCGTAGACAAGCCGTTTGTGAATTGAATACGTTTTTGTGCACAAATTTTTAGCCCTAGTCACATCACAAACTGGTGGAGACACCAAGCATGACTGGATGCAAATCTGTATCCCATGATGTTCCGCCCATCCGCGTTTCCCGCCTCCCCCTGCCCCCCCCCCCCCCCCCCCCCGCTCGGCCTTGTCCACCCTCATTCCCCTCCCCCTCCCTCTGCCCGGGCAATACATGGACGCTCTGTCAACATATTGTTTCATTAGCCCGACATCCAATAAGCGACCACAAACTAGTCGGGCAGCGTCCGTTCGCCTTCTTCCAGGGGTGGCCGACAAGGTGGAGGTGATCAGTACGCCGATGGACGGGGACTCGGAGTCGTACGACCTCGCCTGGAAGGTGAAGAGCTACAGTCCGATCATCGAGTACAAGATCGCCTACCGCAAGACCAAGGTGAGGAGTGGTCCGCCAGAGTTACAGTTGGAGAGTTAGAGTACAAGATCGGCTACCGCAAGACCAAGGTGAGGAGTGGTCCGCCAGAGTTACAGTTGGAGAGTTAGAGCACAAGATCGGCTACCGCAAGACCAAGGTGAGGAGTGGTCCGCCAGAGTTACAGCTGGAGAGTTAAGTAGAGTTAATGGTTGACGACGAGATGAACTACCACCATGTAAAAAGTACAATTCTACGGCTATACGAGTTTTGCACAATCATATTCGTTGTAATAAAGGTATGAAGCCGAAATATCAAAATATACATTTCTTCCTTCTCTTGGTTATTATATGAGGCATAGGGCCAACAATGCGGTCATATCGATATGTAAAATTATTCTAGGAAATGCACTTAGCAACTCACATAGACATGTACACCATTTTATTATCAGCAAAAGGCGTCGCTTGCAACGAATACGTTATGCATTGGAATAATGGATTCGAAAATTCCGTTTGACGTTATCTCTTTGAGAACTCCTATCATTTCTGTGAAATTTTCAGTTTCAGCTGATTTTCATCTCAGTCATTAATCCCCGTTCCATCTTCGTGATATGCAGGTGATCGCTGCTGCTTGCAGATCTGATTCTTCACTCAAATGCACCAGATTTCAATACAGTACCGTTCTATAGATATCTGCAATTTCATCCCTTTCTTTATCGCGAGCACATCATTATGGATATTGCAGGCCGCGAAGAGATTCCGATACATCCTCGCCAGACCACTCGAGTAAACTTAGTCGTTTCATTAACTTCCCGCCGTTCCTTTCAGAGCTTACCTTGGCTAATGATAAAATACTAGTTGAATGGGACCCAGCGAGTGAGAGCCTCCAAGTCTAAAGAAGACAATAATCAGCGTCCGTAGCGGTGCAACTGAAAAATAACTGGATAATTATGTTTGGTTGAATAACAGCGGTGCGACTTCTCTAACTTAAAGAACAAAAATGAATTATTCTACGGCTCGGTAACTTATGAGCGGGGCTTACGTTTGAATCGTTAATGATATTGCACTCGAAAGTGATGCAAGTTCTTTCCAGAACAGGATTGGGTCGCATTTGCGACAGGCTTTGCACAATTATCAAGAACAGCCAGTGGATAGGCGAGGTGTCCACCGCGTCAAGTTGAAAGAATGTATTCGCTGAAACACGGATAGCGGAAGCGCAGTTTTCCGATTTTAACCATAATTAGGTAACGAAAAATATCAGCGGCCAACGACGAATCCTTTTACAACATATTTCCTAAGCGTTAGGAAACGAACGCTAGCATGCGGGCGAGAGTTAACCCGAGGAACATCATGTCATGGCATTCCATACATGCTAGACCGAAATTATGTAACTTTTTCGTTTAAATTTTTTAAATTTTTAACTTCCTTTTTTAACTTTAACTTTTTTTAACTTTTTAACTTTCTTTTTAACTTTCTTTTTTAACTTTTTAACTTTTTTGTAACTTTTTTTTCGTTTAACGTTTCGCAATCGTGACCTGTGTGCACAGCCCGGTACCGCTTGGCGGCTCTGATCCCCACCTACTTGGGCTCTCTAGAACCAGCTGTCGCTTATGCTGCTCGAAAGCTCTTGCGCCTCTTTTCAGAACTGGTTCAAGACTCCAGATTTCATTTCAGAATCAATTTTAAAAGGTCAGGCGGAGGCCAAATTAAGTAAGGTCCAAATTTGAAATCACTGGTTTAAGTCTTGCGACACATGTGCCCACACGTTTGTCATACACATGTGCACATACCATCCTTACTCAGGTGTGCTGGAAGAGTGCTTGTTATTATGTACCTGACCATTCACGGTGACCACCTAAATTGCCACCTAAATCTTGACAAGTCTGCTGATGTTAGCACTAAGGCTTAGCCACCACACATCGGCCATATCGCAAGTCATCTTCTACCGCCATCGGCAACCGTGCCCATTTGCACCCACTGGTTCCAGAGTAGTTCGCTTGCGCTCATTGATTTCATCTACGACCTCCCTTGACTACCAAAAGGATTCCATGTGGTCTGAAATACTCCAGCCGAGTGCATGTGAACCACGCAGCTGCCTGTCGGCATCAGCGTGGCCTCACCGGTGGTCCCAGGGTATCCTGAGATTCGGCTCCGAACGGTGAAGGCTGTATCTGAAGCGGAAAGGCTCAATTTATGGCCTGATCGTCGTACGCACGGCTCGGTAAAGGTTTGAAAGAACCCACCCCGCTGAGAGCGATCGGTCTCCAGAATGCTAAAAGCTCTCTGCCAGTTTGCGATGGTAAACAACCAGCCAAGAACAGGGCTGGCAATCTGATAATGTCTGTTTTGAAAACACAGAAGCGAGTCTGGACCGCGTCGGGGAAGTGCTGTGAGCACGGGACTTTGTGATGTTCTGCAACGAGCTCTTGGAATTACATGTGCCTTAACCAGAGTGAAAGTGGCGATAAAAATGAAATGAACAAACAAAAGTTATTTCAGACGTGCATCTCTAGAACGGTTTGAAGACTTACAGTACTATTCGGTAAATTGCGTTTTATCGGCTATTTTTCAGGAAATGGCTGTGTTGCCTTAGTCTGCAAAAAGACGCCTTGTGTGGCATGGGACAAAAAGGGTAGAATGGACAGGCGAGTTAGCAATTATAATCATGAAACTGATGCCAAAGGCTAGGCCAATGAAGCAAGTCGCCGATGGGAACCACACACATGCCGTCCACCAAGTTCATTGGAAACCCCGCCTGCCATCCAGGGGCGGATCCAGACGAAGGGGGGAGGGGCATGAGGCCGTGACCCCTCTTTGCAGTCTATGGGCTCCGAAGGAGGCTTAGGCTCCAAAGAGTTCAGAGTGGGCCGAACCAACGCAGTTTTTACGCAAAACGCAACAATCTTGACGTCTTTGGGCTTCCAAGCAACTAAGAACAGCCCGCAAGCGAAGCTGAAGGGCCCACGAGTAGCCAAAAACACATTATTTACTGAATGAGAGGGTGGTGGTTGGGAGGTTTTAGGGCTCATTACGCTGTCCAGAGATGCTCCGCTGTTTCCGGGGGCCCTATAGAGCCCGCGTTGTTGCTTGGGCCGTTCCCGTGTCGGGGCGCTTGCCAATCAAGGGCCTTCCACTGTTTCTTTCCATTCGCCCGGAAGGCTCTGTACGCCATAGCCGGTGGCCCCATGTATTAACCTGCCGGGGTCTTCTCAGTTGTATACAGGCCCCTTACTTTGGTCTCAGTTAACCTACCGACACACTGACGATATGCCCATGGACACTACATTGATCTAGGGCCCTTCCCATTCCCTGTCACTTGCTTAGGGTCAAACGTTCTCTTCGGAATCCCGTCTGTTAACCTGCTCGGGCACACTCGGTCGTTCGAGGCCCCCGAATTAACCTGCTCACGTACATAGCATTGTTCAGGAAAACTGCACCTCGGGTTTTGGTATTTGAGTGTAGGGCCCTACGTTCCTGTCCGGGACATCTGATAGTCCACTTGGGTACACTTGATCTTATATTTAGGAGTCTTTCAAACTTCCATGGGTGCTTCTTATTTTAGCGGAGGGCCTTGTGCCCTTGTCGGGCCCTTCTGGCAACCCGCTCGGTTACACTCAATTGTTCGGAGGTCATCTTCATTGGACCTTGGGTATTCCCATTTTGAATGGAGGGCCAACGCCCATGTCGGGGGTTCTATCTGCTAGCCTGCTCGGGTGCACTGGATCGTTTGGGGCCCTCCGCATTGTATCGTAAGTATTTATGATTGGAATGAAGGGCCCCACGCTCTTGTTGGAGGTCCCCCATCTGTAACCAGCTCGGGCACATCCAATCATTTACGGGCGCCCCATATTGTGCCTTGCGTGCCTTTTTCGAATGGATGGCCGTTGTTCTTATCGGGTCCCATCCATTAAGCTGCTCAGGCAAGTGGCGGATCCAGGAGGGGGAGGGGGTGGCACTAAACTATGGCCCCTTTGTGGCCCAAGGGGACTCATAGGCTCCGAAGGAGCCCATGACCGGCTGGACGGACGCAGTTTTCCAACACAAAACGTAACAAAATCGGACGGTTTTGGGCATACAGACGCCAAGAATGGTCATAAGCGAAAGTGAAGATCCCGTGGGCAGGCGAAGTTAAGTCTTCGCTCATTGAGAGGATCGTGTTTGGGGTGCATTTTGAGGCTTATTGTGCTATCCAGAGGCGTTACGCTGCTGTTCGGGGCTCTATATCTCCACTTACCTGGTCAACCCGATTGCTAAGAAGCCTTCCACGTGGTCCTTGATCCCTTTGCATTTTCTGGTAGTGCCCTACACTTCTGTTGTGGTATTATCTGCTAGCATGGCTGGGCACTCTTGATCAATCAGCAGTCCTCCACGAATTCTTCCCACTTTCCCGAAAGGTTCTATACGCTCTTGCCGCTCCTTCCCCTCCCCTCGTATACCGGGGTTCACTCAGTTGCTCAGGGACTCTTCATGTTAGTCCCGGGTCCTTTCCACTTGCTCGGAAGGCCTTGTGCAGTTGCTGAGGCCCATGTAAGGTAAGGCAGCGAGCCATTCGATGCTCAGGGGCTCTCCATCGTTTGCAGAGAACCCTTCACTCCTATCGGGGCCCCTTCTGTTAACCTGCCCGGGACACTTTTGATCGCACGGGGACATTAATTGACGCACACTGGTCTTCTGTAATTTCTCTTTGCTCAGAGGGCTGTGTGTTATGGCTCGCGGCTCATATGTCAGCATGCCCGGGGCACTCCTGATCGTTCAGGGACCCAACAAGTTGGTCTTGGGTTCTTCTCGCCTGCTCTGAGGACTTTGTACTTGTTAAAGGAAGCATCTTTGCTGGCCTGCCGCGGCACTCATGATCGCTCAGGTTTCGTTCCTATTGGCCTTGGAGCCTTAGTCTTAGAGCAGCAGTGGGACATGCGCCAATGTTTTTTTACGCGCAGATATCGAACATACTTTTACGGGTCGCCGACGTGTTGCATTTCTCTTTACCGTCAAACATTTTATTTCCACTTATTTTCTCGGCTAAGCTGCTATTCTCATGCTATTCATTCCCAGACACATTTTTGCAGCAACTGGCAGAGCTGCCAAATGTCTAAATATTGCATCACAAATCGCGATTCGTGTTCAAAGCTGGTATTAAAGGCAGCATTCCACGTTAAATGGGGGTTTTAACTGAAACAGCCATCTTGAAGACTTCTCGGTGTTATTCATTATCCTGCCTTTCTTAAGACGAAACCCCTCTAGTTTTTGAGCCAAGCGCCCGCAAAGGTATGGAAAGGTATATCGGGGAGAGCATTTCAAAGTCAGCTTGGCATTCATGACGTCATAAGAACGCCATTGAAATCCTGCCATTCCATAAGCCATGCGGCGACCAAGGCCAAGAAGTGCACAATGGTCGAGGCGTTCATGTCTGGCGTTCTTGAGCGCGCTTTTCAGATATAACGGCCGTCAACTGGCTCTCAATCAATGTTGTGCAAGGCACGATGACGTAATCAGACCATGACGCATCGAGGAGTATATTTACTTAAAGGAGAATTGTGATGTCAAGAGCAGTATTTTCCACTTAAAAAGTATAACAGTAGTTAGTGAGGTTGTTTCATCATATCTGATGCTTGCTTCAATATCTTCAAATGTGGAACATTCGTTTTAAACGCTTCCAGGCGGTTGAAAGCTAATCGGTGTTCGTTGACGCAACGATCCACGTTAACATACTTCAGACACAAAAAAGTCGATGATCACATTTTTCTTGACCTCTAGCACCATATGGTCATTGAGGTGCACACTTTGTGTGGAGTTTCTATCGTGTCATATCTAGATGATTTCGAAATGGACAACGCGAAATAGTCTGCGCGAGTTTTCTTACTCCTAGCTCAAAAACGAGAACATCTTAAGTTTTGAGAAGGGCATAAGTGTGAACTGCGTGTCATGATCATGGAATTGGCCGTCTCAGTTGAAAACCTCATAAAATGTTGAACAAACCACCCAAGTACATTGCTTGAATAAATGACAACACGGAAAAATGGTGTCATGCTAAAAGGACAAAATCCAAAATAGCAGCATGGGAAAAACAACAAGCATTTTGAAAATTTGCCAGCTGGCTTGTGCGGTACGCGCGAACGCTGCAACCTGTTGGTGGTGACAAGGAATTATATGTATATATATATATATATATATATATATATATATATATATATACAGGGGTGTAGTCTCCTATCAAGGTGTGGGGGCTTCAGCTCCAGGGCTTCAGTCAACTGTTTTCAATGTCGCCCTTTTGCAGTTCACCATTTTGCCGCTTCGACTTTTCGCCGCGTCGATTTTGTTATGTGTCGCCATTCCGCATTCGCCACTCAGGACTCGTAAAAAAAGCATTCGCCATATTGGATTTTCGTCTTTTTGTCACAAAACCACTGCCATCAGATCAAGGAAAGCAAAGATTGACTGAGGTACCGCTTACGGGCCTATTCAGAAATCACGTTGGATGAAAATTGGCTGCGGGTGTTGCCAGGTTCACTCCTTTCGGCAGAGGAAGTCAAGGAGTTTGTCCTGGCTGTCTTTCGTGACTGCAATCAAAATTTTGCAACCAGCGCAACTATTTTTGAATGTGCATTAACCGTGATGGCATCGAATGCACGCCTCTGCAGCGTTCATGGTCCTGGATACCGTCGCTTATGTCTTAGCTCGCTGCATTCGTAACTGCTTTCCGAAAAGTAGCAGCTACTGTGTCTTGGTTTAGTGCTGTCGCACGTGCAGTGTAGAGATTGCTTAGATTAGTTATTGATCGCGCACTGGATTTGGCGTCTTTATCCGGACGATAATCATCACGGATTCCACAAAAAGGAATAGGACTGTGATGGGCTGCTGCGCACATGACTGGTGACACGCATCGACATAAAATGTTGTCAGTGCGACTGCCCGCTCCCTCCTCGGTGACACACATCGACATACACTGTTGTCAGTGCGACTGCCCGCTCCCTCCCTTATGACACACATCGACATGCACTGTTGTCGGTGCGACTGCCCGCTCCCTCCTCGGTGACACGCATCGACCTACACTGTTGTTAGGGCGGCTGACCGCTCCCTCCTCGGCGACACACATCGACATACACTGTTGTCAGTGCGACTGCCCGCTCCCTCCTCGGCGACACACATCGACATACACTGTTGTCAGTGCGACTGCCCGCTCCCTCCTCGGCGACACACATAGACATACACTGTTGTCAGTGCGACTGCCCGCTCCCTGCTCTCGCAAGCTGTAACCTCGTGCAACTGCCACACTGGGCCATTGAAATGTGGGCCCGTTTCGACTCGCGGAGTGCTTTTGTAGCTAACATATTTTACCTTTGCCATTTTAACCGAGGTAGGAAGGCCGCATGTTGCTATAATTACATTGTTGCAAACATTTTGCACCTGAGCAAACCGCACTTTCGCAAAAATATGAAAATTTGACGGCACAACTATAAAAAACTGCCCTTCTTGTTGCTGAGAACCCCATGAAGCTGCGATTAGTGGTTCCTCAGCTGTTTGCTCCTAGGGAAAGTGACGAGTGGGGCCGAGTCCGCTGAACCCGGCCGCTCATCTTGAAAACTGTTTCCTCGTTAGAGTTTTCAGCCCGCGGCCTCGTTCGTAGCGCGTGGCACTCAGCCGTGCCTGCCTGATATCATTTACCAACATTGTTTGCCAGTTGAACTCGACCAGCCACAGCCCGGGCCGGTGGAAGGAGGTGCTCGTGCCCACGACGGGACGGGAGCCGGTCGACGACATCCACTTCCAGCAGCAGGTGACGCTGACGAAACTCACAGCCGCCACCGCCTATGACCTGCACATACAAGCCAAGAACAAGCACGGCTGGAACCGCGTCTCAAACACCTTCCACTTCTCCACCATCGGCAGAGGTCAGTCCATGTGGCCGTGGCAGGTAACGCAGACATCCTCTTTCAGTAGATACAAATCGGCTCACGTAGGTACCTTAGGGCGGGATTAGTTTGCAAGTGAACATTTGTAGGGTTCAGCTGTTTGTCCACCATACATGTATAATCTGCTTTCAAAGTACTGCGTCGTTATTCTTACTTTGTGAAATGCATTTGGTATAGATGATTCGGCGGGAAAAATATATTAAGGCATCGTCATTCCGCTTCCAATATCGAGGAGCCAAAGGTACCGGACAACTGATCAGCATCAGCTTAGCGTATACCCCTGAGCTGCACAGTCAAGGCAAGACACCACCCGCGCTGGCTTCATGTTACTGACAGTCTCTGCCTGCCCGGTGCAGCGATGGAGTCGCGCAGCCTCGCCGCCAACCGCGGCTCACGCCCGGCGCTCTATATTCACCTCTACTTCATCCTGGTGGGCGTGGTCATCAGGAGCATCGTCTGAGGTCACGGCACATGTGAGCGTTATAGCGAGGCGGGTGTGCTGTGAAGACGGCCGAGGTTTGGGCTGTCCATCGTGCCGCTGCCACCGCGCGTCGGGGGTTGGCGGCCGGCCGGTACGGAACGGCCGCCGTCCATGCCATGCGACCGAGTATTATGCAGCGAGCCATGTTCTTGGGTGTGCACATAATGCACAACTTTTTCCCGTTGTCTGCACACACCTGTATATCGTTGTACATGGGAGTCAGACACAGTAGCCGTTCGACCGTGTCCCGCGTCTCATAGACCACAGCTTTCTGGCCCAGCGGCCGCAACTTCTTCTAACTGCCGCTAGATGTCAGATGAGGTCTTTCCCTGCGCTGGTAGGCTGCGCCGTAACACTTTTGTCTGCAATTATAGCCTGAAATGCTGGTTGCACCGACAGTCATACTGGATATATGCTCAGCGTTATACGGGCTTAACAGCTCCACGGCAAACATTGAAACGGCATTGGAAACTGCCTGGAATAACGTGCCTCAATGCCGTACTTAGTGTTACACGCCACTCACTTCAGCCGCTACGCTCTGCTCGGGGCCCGTCCACCCGACGATGTCACTTGCCAGGCGGCATTCTGGTCCCGGTGTAGCACGCTAATGCGATTGCATGACTCACTGTTGCTGCTTTAGGGAAATTCTCATGCCATTTGACCACCTGGTTCACCTTTTCTATGTTTCTATATTTCACGAATGCAGTGGTCCTCCGGCCCTCTATTTCCCTGATCTTCCAGCTATTTAGTTCACAATTAGCTCCGTCGGTCCCGTGCACAGTCGGTCAGGTGGCCAGCTGGCTTGACCGCGCACAGGGACACTGGTTGGTGTTTGCCAGTTCGACAACAATGCGGCCTGGCCATCCGCTGGTCCGATGGCCGCCGGTCTGCTGGTCTACCGGCCTGCTGGCTTGGCGGCCGGGTGACCCCCCGTACATGATAAACCAGGCGAGACGGCGGCACCGGCGGTGAACTAGGGGCCGGCGAGCCTCTCACGCGCCCGCTGGGCCCTGTTGGCACAAGTTTTATCGCGTCACCAAATTTACCGGCTGAACTATGGCCGAGACGGGCCGCTGCCCAACTGTTCCCTGCAGACCAGGCCGACGATCTCTGCTTCCCAGCACCCTATAAACGCCGCACTTTGGACCGCACCGTTCGCCCGGAGCGAACCGGGCGCACGCCTAATTTATACGGTGGGTGGCGTCACTGGGAAGGGTCGCGCGCCTCGGGGATCGCGGCGGGGTCGCACCGCCGTTAGCTCCGGCTCTCATTATGGGCCCGCTGGGACGCCGGCCCGCTCCACCGAATGTGAAAGAAGCCCGAGTGAATAATTTAGCGCATGTCTGGCCGTGCGGTGTTGTGCGCGGTAATGTATTGCTCCTTCCGTTTGTCGTCGTTTGCGGTCCGTTGCCCATGCGCGGGCGGTCATCAGATGTGCTTTGGTCGTGTTAGCGAGGATGGGCAGTGGTCGAGCGTGGAGTTTACGGGCGACTGTGACGCCGACTGTGGACTTCGATGAATTACGTGGTCATACTCGCTTGAGGCGCACTCCATGCGATTTCCCCAGCGTCGCTTAGTGCGCCACTCATCGCCACGCTCTGAACATTCATTGTGAGGTCGTTGTTTTCACGAATTGAAGTGCATAACTGGCGCACGAGTCATCGGTACATTGGCATGATTAGTTCGTGCTATGATAAAATATTCCACTTAACCTGGGCGCTGTCCTCGCATGTGGTGTCAGGCTGCCTACCGAAGCAGCATCAAACGCGCTTTAAGTCTCTATGCATAACAAAACTGATTTGTTTCTGCTCGTTCCAGATTCCTGCCATAGATATCAGCCACCCCGGTAACTGAAGACCATTCGCGGAAATGCTGAACCCCGGGGACACCAGTGCAAACTCAGTACGGCTGAGGCAGCGGCAGGACGCAGTCGGCATGGCCGGGTGTTTTCCCGCCGCCGTGGGCGGGGCAGCGGGTCCGGAGAGCAAACACAGATCGTGACAATGCCGAGGTGGGCTGGTGACCACGCTGACTCTGGGGTGACAAGCGTCGGACCTATGAGAGCACGCGCGACAGCTGCTACTGGCGTCCACGTGTGCCACAAGCCGCGTATGCCGGCTTGAGGATGTCACGTGCTGCGGGCGATACGTGTAACGTGTGAAGCACGGCATGTCCACGTGGCGAGGGTGGTGCAGCCACGGTTCGCGTATGCGCGCGTACGTACGTGCGCTAGTGTGTTTGTATGTGTGTGCGTGCGTGTGGCGTGCCTGTGTGCGTGCGTGCGTGCGTGCGTGCGTGCGTGCGTGCGTGCTCGTGTGCGTGCGTGCGTGCGTGCGTGCGGAGCGTGGAGCACCAGAGCCCTCGGGCGGTAGCCCACCGACGGATACGAGCGCCCTACATGTTTTCTGTGTACTCCGTGGACCGGTCTAGTGCCTTGATGGAACAGCCACGGACCGTATGCCTGCTGTCGAATAGCGTCGAACCACAAATAAACGGTGTCGTCGACCGGTAGGGTGTACGGTGCCCCTGTGCATAGGTGCGTCACATGTGTGCATACGCAGTATTCTGGTGTAAATACATACAATCTTATTGTTTTATGTGATTACCTCGACTTTTCGTCAATTCAGAATCGGACGCATCAGTAGATAAATTTGTGCTCCTTGATTGTGATCTATCGATTGAGAAATGTTCTTTTTTAAGTAAATGAGGCCGAGGAATATATTTACAAAGCTTCATTAGCTGTCAAAAACTTTATCTTAAAGTTCATGGAGAGCGTTGAGCGGATACTGCGCTTAAACAACCGAACGCGCCCAAACTCAGCCACTTAGCCAGTCGGTGACCACCAACGGTAAGCCACATTACACGGGTATACGCAATGTCGCAGCCCAGGCTCATTCGTGAAAGCTCGCGATGCACTTTCTGAAAAACGCGACGGAACTTACCCGCACGTCTTTTACTCGAAACTCGACCGACTTGACAATCCTTCGGGCTAAGTGGACGTGGAAACTCTTCCACTAATAAAACCGATTCGCTAATGGATTAGAGAGCTGATTGCGTTCACCGCTTTCACCGCAGTTCGCCTCAGTTAGCCCCGAACTAAACCACTTAATCTTCCATTGCTGTCGCCGGCCCGACCGGCCGTTGATCGACTCGCGCCAGATAAGTTCGGCAGCGTGGTTTATGCCGGGCGTCTCCGCGAGGCACGATTGATCTGAGGGGTGCCCCGAGACCCCGCAAGAGAGCGTAGTCTGCCCTCACTTGTGGAGAGTACGTGGACCGGCTGGTGACCAGCCTAGGCGGGGGCGCCCGTTCATCTATCTTCATTCGGCGCTGGCGGTTCGGCGGTATTCAGGGTGCAGCCCAAGCAACTGGACGCCACGACTGAATATCTATCGTCTTACATTTACGGCAGTGCAGTGTTGTGCACTGAGACGTACAGTGCCCGTCGTGCTGGGTGATGAAATCCACTTTTTTGTCATAGGACCACGCTTGTTACATGTTCCGCTGTGTTTTTTTTAACTAAAAAAAGATCGCGTGTGTGCCATTTTGCGGCGACATATAATGCTCTCAAACATTTCAAGCCCAACTATTTTCCTCTTGTCTCTTGTTTACACTCACCGGGGATGGGGTCACATGGACCCCTAAATTGCTCACATTGTAAATTCTGAAGTCTAAAGTGTTAGTTTTATACTTTAAAGGAACGTGAATGGAAGCGTTCCCAATATTTGCACACCCCAGTCTCACCCATCGACATGCTTTGACACATTCGGCGTCATTTGCACTGTTGGCGAAAACACAAATGTGACGTTATGTTATACCGTCTATCCACCATGGGCTAGCTTCGGCTTGGTTAGCATTCAGAGACCAGCAAGCCTGTAGAACATTTTTGTGAGGGGAATATGAGAGTCAGGTTTTCCGGGTGAGCTTCCGACTGCATAAAACATGATAACGATGCATTGGCCGTTCTCTACTCATCAAGATGATTGTTTGCTCGGTGAAGCAACACCTGCAAATCATTGAAACTCTTCCAATTCGCACATTAATTCAGAGTATTTAGTAAACCCGGGTATCATCCGGCGAACACATCTTCCAATGATCTAGAAACCCAGTGTTATCCCTATGGTATGGCTTATGAAAAAAGGCCTAAAAGGTCTCTCACCCTCCCCCCCAACCCCACCCCCAAGCCTGATCAGCAGCCGCTCGCACCCTTTTCTCCCAAAAGGAATGCTTAGAGACCAGAGACGGTCAACCCCACGCACAAACGTACTCTCTGCGCGCCCCGAGCCAGGCCCACCACGGGCCTGGTGACGACGCTGCCCGCCGCTGAGCGCTGCTTTCCGGCGAGAGCTTGGCACGAAGCGCCTGCAATTAAATGGGCGGCGTTACCGAGACTAATTTACCATCGCATTAGTTACTCTGAATGTATCCCACTTGACTTTACGATCATGCTATGCAAATTGCTTAACACCTCCAACAAAAGCTTATTTCTAACGGCCAGCATGCGGGGTCGTTACCATCATGCAGACCTGTGGTTAGCACGTGATATAGAAATTAGCTTGTGTTTTAATGTCTTATTTCGGCTGGCCATTTATGGGCGCGTTCGTCCAACGGAAATAATTAGATGGAAGTTTGGTAACGTTCAGCAAGGAGGAAGCTTCGAGTGCCCACAGTTGCGGGATTACATTCAGGAAGCTATGGAGGCCACTTTAAACGGTGACATACATTAAATAGCTTTCACTCGTGTCTGGAACAGCGCGTTTGAAAGATATGAAACGCCACCTTTTAGGAATGTGCCCTCACGCTCGTATCTTTCACGTGGGCCTAAACAATCGTATGAAAGTCTTGAGCTCGTACTCAAATAGATAGCCAAAACATAAAGGAATGCATGTGCGTGCAAGCTTGTGAACAACACTACAACACACGCTTGCGGCTAAAAACATTGCTTATACGTGAGATCAGATCGACATAGAAGCGCCGTATGATTACGAGCACAATAGTTGTGGCGCTTAGGTAGTGTGCCCATTGTGACGCTTTTGGCTACAGCGCCTCCTTCCGTCTGGCGATAGCGGAAACATGTGGCACACATCCAATCATATTCTTTTGTTGGATCGTGGCAAAAAATGCATTCATGTGTGCCCTTAAAAAGAAGAAGCGACGCTCTTGATTGCTGACCTTGCTCAACTACAACGTACCCATGAGCTAACAATTGTTTGGGTGCAAATCCTGTAGAAATGAGACGTTTGCTTTCCACCCAAGCAAGAATTCGTTACATCCATGTTTGCCGGCACAAGAGCCGACCGGTAAGGTCGTTCACACCATTGTCCATCGATTGGACAGCCCATTCAGGTGCTTGGCCGACCTGCGATGGGCTCGGCACCACCTGCGCTCGGCCTCATGAGCCGCCCCACATGCATGGCCAGGCCCTCAAGTGAGTGATTTACAAACGGTTCGGTTTAACTCGCGACAAATATGTCGTTATCCAAGTGCTGGCGCGCACGAAGTGGGGCGCGGCATTCGAGCCGTCGGCCGGTAATTAGGCCCAATAGCCAGCGGACATAACCGTCACCTCGGCTCGCACCGGCTGCACCGGTAGGCCCAGCGGCACTTGATATATGGACCATTCCGGTACTACATAAAGCGCTTGCATGACGCCCGCCCGTCAGCTGAAAGAGTATCCCAGCGTCATTAAGCAGCCGGCTGCAGACGCGCCCGGCGCATGACAATGGTGTTCGGTGGATGTCGCCCGGGAGGCGGAGCCGTCGGGACGATGCCACGGTCTGCCGTGAATTATCGTCATCCGGCGCCGTGCGGCTGCGGCTGCGAACGGCGACCTTCGCGGTCCATTTGCCCGGCTGTCTGCGGGCCTATTTCGGAGGTCGATGGAGCCCAACTGACGATGAGCGATTGCGTCGGGCTGCCGTCGCGCCGGCACGCGGCGCGCCTTGAGGGCGCTCCTGGCCGCGGCGTCCACGCGCCAGGAGGCTCCCTGGCCGGCCGCCGGCTCCTGATCCGCCGGCTCCGCCAGAGGCTCCGCCAGTGGCCCCGCCGGAGGCCCCGCCGGAGGCTCCTCCGATCTGCGCCATGCGCCTTTGTCTCGCCCCGCCGCCGCCGGCTGCAGTCAGCCTCAGTAATAACTCAATTAAGCGCCGCACGGTTACGCCCGCCACGGGACCCCCGGGAGAGGGGAGCGCCGGCCGGCGCCCCGGGCCACGCTACCAGTGACGTCACGGCGGAGGTAGACGACGCGGCCCGGCCGTTTCCGCTGTGTTTGGTCACGCCGCTGACGACGAGGTAATGGCGCCGCCGCTCTATAATGCAGGAGGACGGCTCGGGAGTGAAAAGCGCCGCGAATCGTCGCGAGTACCGCCGATGGTCGCTATCGACGCGACGGTGGGGTCGGTGATAAAGTGGCGAGGCGAGGCCGCGAATAAAAACGCCCAGAAGCGCTCGCGGCCCGCTATGTAGTGGGCTGTGTAGGTACCACGCGAACGCGAAACGCCTGGGGAGGTAAATGTGAAATGGAGACCACGGGCTGATGGCTTTACTTGGTGCACTGGTTAGAAGGGTCTCTTGGGCAGGGCAAAGCATTCAGGAAAATGTTTCATGGAAGCAAGCATAGTTGCATGCATACATTTGTGTTACCCTGGTAGTTTTCATAAAAACTCGCAGTTACAATCAATAGGTTAGTACGTGAGCGTGAAGCATGCAGCGCAAAGGTGACATTATGGATACACCATGTGCATTCAACACCTGACATGCCCATGCTTACATAAAGCATCAACAGCAGTTTATATATCGCTGTTCCCGCCATATATCACCCTGAAGCAGAAAACAGACACCCGTGCTGACCAGCGCTACAGTTCCATGCAGGGGATTTTTATTCGCATGTACAGATGCAGCCTGCAAAACAACGTCTACTCAGCGTGAGCGATAAAAAGAATCTGGTACTCATACATCCCAGGAAGGCGGACGGGGAAGGAGGGGGGGGGGGGGGGGGGGGGGGGGGGCGGATGTCGGCCGCAGGCCAAAACGGGAGCCTGGTGATCGTCACCATTAAAAAGTTACCCGCCCTGGCAGCAGAAAAGAGTGCGAAAGAGAGGAAGAGAAGAGAGCCCTCTCAGGAAATTGATTGAGAGCGCGTGCGTTTGAGACGTGAATAAGAAACACGCACGGGCTGACAAACAGAATTGGAGAGGATGCTTTGGCCGGTACATAATACATGCAAGGATGATGGAACCGTGGCACCGAAGTGCACCGTGTCATTTGACCCCATCACCTGCCTCTACCTTTCTTTCCCCATCACACCCGATATGTGAACCGCTCTTTCTTCGCAGTTCTCGTAAGCTTTCACATTCCATCCCGCAAACTCTCATCCTCGCGCCCACACTCCTGCCATCCACGCTACCCTGCGTGCACCTGCACGTCTCTTTGAGCCTACAGGATATCTTCAATTTAGAATTCTAACACACTCTTACTGTTTTTTTTTGTTCCTACTCTTTCTTCCCTCCTCAATCCAGCCCACTTACCCTGTCTATTGTCTAGTCTCCACATTTATTCTGCTCTTCTATCTGCTATATAAGGCATACCATAGAATTAAAGCTGCATCAATGTAGAACCTGGACCAATAACCTCTTCCACTTGTCAGTCTCCAAACGTTTTAGGGATTCTGCATCTTCGGACTTCGACTGTCCGGTGCTTCGTTTTCCACTCGATAGAACTCAGGGGTCGATTGCAGTCGATGAAGACGTAGCCAGGAGTGACTACCTAGTTTTTATGTTTTGTTTACAAATTGTCATTGCAGCTTTTGTAGTTTACGTTTGGCTGTCTGGTAAAATTTTCGGATAGATTTGCATGCGAATGTTTTGTTTGTTGTAGCATAACATATCGTAGAGTGTAATGGCTTTTATCTAAACAGTGCAAATGACATCTCACTCATTCTGAATGTTATATTACCTCCGTTACCTTCCTACATATTTCGCTAACATGAGACCAAGGGTGGTGGCGTCTTAGCTGCCCAACATCGACGACAAAATACATATGACATCAGGGTAGTGGGTGAGGGTTTCAGGCTCTTGATTACACACACGAATTGAATCCGTTTGTGACGCTGATAAACGCCATTTTTGGTGTCTACTTACTAGGCTGGCAAAACGCATGGAAGTAATCTTATTTCGGCACGTAAGTGAGAAACACGTAATCTTACCGTGGAGGCCGAACTGCCCCAAGGCTTAGCTTTTCGGCAAACCAACTTCCACGCGGGGTCAACAGCAAAAAACTAATCCAAACACGCTTGGAGAGGAAATTGGAAAGCGCAGACAGGGACGACGGCGGCGAATTGTTTACCGCTGAGCCGCGGCGGCGGTGTGGTGGTGATCCAGTAAAGGCTCCTGGGTCATTGACAGAGAGCGGGAGGAAGGAAAGAAAAACGGCCACACCCGAGGCGGGGGCGAGCGTCTGAAGTCGAACTGACCGCGGGCGCAGCAACCGGAGGGGTCGAAGGTCGGCGAGGGCGCGGGCCGAAGGCAGCGTGGGATCTCGGGTAAAGCCACGCCGCTGATGCTGCTTCTGCTCGTGCCGGGGATTGCGGAGGCGACTATGACGTATGTCATGACATGGTCGGGCGTTGTGTGTCGACTTACTAATTTGAAACACAAGTATGAGAAGAGCATCTGAATCGCATGAAAGAGGTAAACCTCAAGCCTAAAACAAGGGGACGTTCGCATCCCCGCATGTGTTGGGGACTGTTATACGAGAATAAGGCACACAAAAAGCAAAAAATCGACATACCAGATGCCAGAACTGAATGCCAGGTAGAATCAGCGAGAATGATTCGCAAACAAAACTATCAGCCAAAACGTGAGCATGCCTGTTATTGATTTAGCTTCGATTAAATGACGAGCAGCAGCTGTTTTTCACGCAATTGCTTGACGCGTTGCGGGGGGCATGCCCGACACCGATGACTGGCTGTTTTGCTTTCTTCTTCTTCTTGGCTTTTCACCAACATGTTGATGAAATGGTGCGTGTAATAAAGCTATTTGGCACAGAAACGAATTCCAATCGATGCAATTTCTACCCGACCGATAAATGCTCTTTTTTCTTTTCCGATGTCCTCTTTCACTGGCCTGTAGTCTTTATCTAGTGAGCTATGAAGTGGGACAACGTTGCGCAAGCTTGTCCAAGAATCTCTCGATGACTGTAAAGGCTTTGTTACACTAAAGGTTTAATTGACCGTGGACCTGCCGCCACTTGCCCTCATTCCGGAAAGCATTTCCACTGACACGATGCGTTCTCGACATACCACGTGAAAGGAAGAAACTAGATTCACGAATGGACGGATACATCACAGCTTTTTGCCTTCACCAAAGATCGTGACATTCTACTGCGTTTCGTTTTACTTCCCTCTCTTCGGTTTAGGTGGACACGAGTTAAAAACCTTTCCGCAAAGTAAGCTCGCAACGATGGGGGTGGTCTGGCTTCGCTCGACTGCCGCACCCAATCTCAGCCGCCCTGACTGAGACAGCCCTGGGAACCCAGATTCTTGCTCCGGGCTGAGGCCCGCATTGAGCTGCTAGCCGCGGATCGGAGGCCGCGAGCGGCTGATTTGTGTCAACGCTGCGGCTGCGTTTGAAGTCGCCCTGCACCGGGACGTCGGCACATCTGCCGACGCGGCGGGCCCTGACAACACTCGCAACGGATTAGCAGCCGCGGTGGCGGACGAGTGGATCGTCGCGCCGCCGCTCTGTTGAATGATGACGCGCACGACCTCAGCCCCATCCCGTCGGCGTTCTCGGCCGACAGGCGTCGTTAGTTCCCGTGGTTGCCGTAGGGTCGGTGTCAACGGCGTCCGTAAATTCGCGTCGCGCGCTGGTCGCAGCGTCAGCAGGGACCTGTTCCGGAGTAGGGCCGGCCGGGTATCGGGGCCTGACGTGACCGCCGGACCTTTGTGTCGGAGCCTGACGTGACCCGCCCGTTGACCTTTGATATGCACAGGTGGTGTCAGCCGTCAGAAGCCGAGGGACAGCTCAGTGGCTCGGGAACGTCCACTCTGAATTGTGCACGATTGCAGTTAGCACGCATGGAGTCTGGGGGTCGTAGAAACGTTTCCATGAAAGCTGAGAGCCGCGTGACGCCTTTGAGGCAATATCTCGTGCTATTATGCAATAGGTAATGCGAGTGATGGGACAGATGTCATGCTTCAGACCTAAAGGTCTGGTTCAAATACCACATCAGCATACGGACACCGCTTGGCGCCCATTTATTCTCAACTCCATTCACAGTCGTCAGTTTGTTGGGAACGGAGAACTTGGCCTTTTCCTACCTTGACGTCAGG